GCGTGGGCTGGTCCATGAGGTCACGAAGAGTCGGAGACGACTGAACGAATGAACAACAACAACAACATCCACTCCATAATTGATTCTAAACACTGGTTTGGAACCAAAGCTTAGGTGGAAAGGAGAAACAGAAATGTTATCACCACAGTGGTAGCAACAAAGCTCAAATGTTTGGGCAACACATTCATGATTTTTTTTAATAGCATGGAGGACAATATAGAGCCCTGTGGGATATCACAGCTCAATGCCAAATAGTGAACAGGAATATCCCAGAACCACCTTCAGGGGTTGCCCCTCTCTAAAGGACTTAAGCTAAGCTTACATCTTCTGGAACTAATGCTGCCTTTCAAGGACATGCAGGTCTGTTATACCTGTGCCCAGAAAAAGAAAGCAAACTCCACAGTTTGGGGCTATGATTGGGTTTGCTGTATTTCAAGGCTCGGGCCACATTCCCCCACACTAGCTCCAGATGTAAACAAAGAAACCCAGCCATTCTATAGGCCACAAACCTGCAATCAGCACTGCATGGTCACACGTCTGATACATGCGGCATGATTTGTACATGGGGAGCTGCTGACGATGGCACCGCCGTGTATTCTTGTTGAGTTCACAATAAGCAGCTGTGGAACTGGAGCTAACCAGGGACAGAGGCTGAGGACACAGGCTGAATCCATGGAGATCTGCAAAAGGAAAGAAAAAGCTGGGGCAGGGTGGGAGCATGAATTGTCCTGAAACTGGATGCTGGAAATAAGAAAAGCAGGGCAGGAATTATGTTAGGGACGCATGCAATTGTAAGTCTCCCTAAGGAAGAGCTAGTGTTGGACTATGAAGGCCAGAGTTTGAGTTCTTGCTTGGGCATGGAAAACAACTGGGTGACCTTGGGCAAGTCAAATTATCGCAGCCTCAGGAAAGCAAGGGCAAACACCCTCTGAACAAATCTTGCCAATGATCAGTTCGACCCAGAGTTGCCATAAGTCAACAAACAGCAAACATGTCATTGGTGGGGCGGGGCACTGAGGAGGTTGTTATTCCCTTCCTTGTAATGCCTGGCGATGCAACAATAAAGCCATATAACCATACAGTCCCCAATCATGCAGACTCAGACTCAAATGCCCCCTGCTCTGATATTGCTTGTTTTTCGATGCTTACTTTTAACTTGTTTTGTTGGGCATGTCCCTTTGTAAGCCACCCCGAGACCCGAGATGGAGGTGGGGTATAATAATAATAATAATAATAATTATTATTATTATTATTATTATTATTATTCAGTAATTCATGGGTATCAAGTTGATCTGATGCTTTCCTCTCCCCCCTGCCCTTCATGATTGCTAATGTGCCTCCCTCCGAACACCAGTCCGGGTACGCACTCATGCAGTGCAGGTTTTGCAGGTGTTTGGGGTCCTGGGCTGCCACCACTGTGGGCAAAAAATGGATTTCACAGAGCCCAACTGGCGCCTCTTCCCGCCGGACACGTCCTGATGCCCGCTGGCTCCATCCCTTGCCACGTCCCGGCCTGCGCTTCAGCTGGTTCTCACAGTGGTTCCTCTGGGCAGGGGTCAAGCACTCATAGCTGCCTGGAGGAAATGCATGAGCACATTTGGAATAAAAACCTTGTAGAAGCTTCATGGGTACACCCCCCCCCCCCACAAAAACAACAACAACAAAAATCATCTCAGTGTTTCAATGGTAACTGAACTAGATGAATGTTTTCTCAATTGTAAAGATAACCAAAGCCTGGAGAGTTACATTTGGAAAAGTTATCTGCCACCTACTCTAGGAATTCTCCATCCAGCACAATCACTGCCTAGATTGGAAAGAGGATTGCAGTCCAAAAATTAAATTTAAAGCTCCAAAAAGAACATTCAGGACCTTGTGTCAGCTTGTCAGAGCCGCCACTCCTCCCTTGACAACGAAGTATTAAAGGATTACACTAGAAAGTGCCATTCATGATTTCCCGCTATACTCTGATTGTGTCTGAGGAAAAACAGAAGCCAGTTAAATATGCTAAGAATTGTGGGCCCGTTATGCATGTGAACAAATTAAATAAAGAAATACAAACCAAAGCTGGAATTCAATAGGACACTTAGGAATACATAATCCAGAGTTATGAATTGGTGTTTGATTTGTTTATTTATTAAATTATGGAATATTGGGTGACCATAAAATTTTCTTGATTCCCACTTAACAAGCAGCAGACGCCTTGGTCTCCTATTGAGATCAGGAAGCAGCTGACTGATTTTTCCATGACCTCTCAGACAAGAGACCTCCAGTTTGAGAACGGTGACAGGGATCCTGTTTCTGATGGTCACACTGGATTTAGGAAGAAGTGGAAGAAGTGGAAACATCAGCCAGATGCTTTTCAATTAACAGAGAAAGCGATCCCTCTCACTTGCAGTGGTTGCTTTCTGTCATTAAGTAAGGATGGAGAGGGTCAGGCTGAGAGGATACTACTTAGCCACATAATCTAAGGTAGCATAGCTCATCATGGCCACAACAATCAGGTATTCCTCACACAGCGCAATCTCAGTGTTCATTACTTCTCTACTGTAAATCACTCCAAAATAAGTCTCTTTCCTCTACCCCAACTTGTAACCCCAAACCTCTACCCCAACTTGTAACCATGGTCACTGTCAGTACTTTAAAGTGAAGCAGTAGGATGCAATGTTTCTTTTAAAAACAGGGACAGAAAAAAAAGGGTAGTGGTTGTTGTTTCAGCTGCAAGGTTTGGCTGATTAAGTCGTAAGATTAACTGATTTACAACAATGTTTATATAGATATAATTTATTAAAAAATAAACAATAGAACAATATTGGAAACAATAGAACATGTGCTCCTTCAGTGTCCGTTCTACAGGGATACCCGTGCCAGGCTTATCTTACCTCTGATAGACAAGCACCCAGGCCATTCAGGACAATTTTATACCTCCCTGCTACTTGCGGATACTAATTCAGCTACAACCTACAATGTCGCAAAGTTCTGTGCAGCAGCATACAAAATCCGCCAGGGAATGACTAGTTCCAAAAGTCAACTGTGTGTCCAGTAATCTTCTTCCCTGAATCTACAATTTGGTGATGGATCTGGGCATTGTATGTTTTTACCCTGTTTCCCCTTCTGCTCCCTCACCCATATTGTGTTTTTAGTAGTTGTATTTATATTTTTAATGTACCAAACATGCCAGGTTTGTATGGAAATGTGACACTACTTCCTGTGCTGGTCAATGACCGAAATAAATGTTTTGATTTGATTTGATTTGATTATTAAAAAATTCATTATACTTAATTCATTACAAGCCAAAAGCTTGAACACTGTTCCCATCCTAAATATCTCAGCATCACCTTAGATCGAACACTAACATTTAAGAAACACTGTGCAAACACCAAGCACAAAGTAGCTGCACGCAGTAACATCCTGCGGAAACTTACTAATAGTGCACAGGGTGCAGACCCGAAATGAATAAGAACATTAGACCTGGCCTTGTCCTATTCAACTGCTGAGTATGCCTGCCCCGTCTGGCATAAATTTACCCACACAAAGCAGGTGAATGTAGCACTGAATGAGACATGCAGAATAATCACAGGATGCCTTAAACCTACACCTGCTGATAGACTTTATAAGCTAGCTGCTAGCTGGCATTGCCCCCCCCGGGATGTGTGATGGGAAATTGCTGCCAATTGCGAGAGAAATAAGGTTGAACACTGTGAAAGTCATCCACTATATGGCTATCAGCCTACTCCCAGTAGACTTAAATCAAGGAAAAGTTTTACGAGAACCACCACTCCTCTGTATGTTCCTCCAGCAACAGCAAGACTATCCTTCTGGGCAGCTAAACCAGGCAATCCCAACTGGATGGCACCCCACGAGGGTCTTCTTCCAGGGGCAAACCAAGAATGGGCAACTGAACAGTCCCTGAACAGACTCAGAAGTGGAGTGGGCAGATCAACATGGCAAAATGGCACTACCTAAAAGAATCCTCCACCTTGTGCAATTGTGGAGCAGAACGAACAACTTGGCATCTTATGCTTGCCCACAATGCCCTGCCTCATGCACAGAGGAAGAACTCTTCAAAGCTACAGACAATGCAGTTGTGGTCACCCACTTTTGGTCTTAAACTATCTAGCAGCTTGTGATCGCTTTATTTTATCTGTTTTAAACTTATTTATTTATGCAATGTTTTTGACACAAAATAAATAAATAATAGTTAATTCATTAAATGTTATTTATTCCAATAGCAGCAGTGTTTTTCTATTGCAGTGGGAATAACTGAAAAGAGGAATACAAATCGTTATATGAAAAATTGCCCCCGGTGGCGCAATGGGTTAAACCCTTTTTCCAGAAGAACCGAAGACAGAAAGATTGGAAGTTCGAATCTGGGGAGAGTGCAGATGAGCTCCCTCTGTTAGCTCCAGCTCCCCATGCAGGGACATGAGGGAAGCCCCACACAAGGATAGTTATACGTCAAAACATCCGGGCGTCCCCTGGGTAATGTCCTTGCAGACAGCCAATTCTCTCACACCAGAAGCGACTTGCAGCTTCTCAAGTCGCTCCTGACATGAAAAAATTGTGATATTAAGATGTTTTTAATTTTATGTTTTAATTGTTTAAATGTCTGTTTATGTTTTATGCTTAATATGATTTTAATGGTTTAATTTATAGTTCTATGTTATCATTTTAGTTATTATGCTTTGGTTTTGTATACTGCATATACTTGAGTATAAGCCTAGTTTATCAGCCCTTTTTTAAGGCTTAAAAAGTCCCACTCGGCTTATACTCGAGTCAAGGTTATTTATTATTTTACTCTGTTATTATTATTATTACATTTATTATTATTATTTCGTATACTTCTACCCCGCCCTTCTCAACCCCCGAGGGGGGACTCAGGGCGGCTTACAAAAAGGCACATCTTGGTGCCCACACAAATACAATAACATATAAAAACAGTAATAAATGGTCAACAATTAAAACAATAAAACAACAATATATCACACAATCGATAGCCAATCTCAGCCACATTTATGTTACTCTATTTATTATTATTATTACATTTATCATTTTACTCTATTATTGCTGTTATTATTACATTTCCATTATTTTATTCTATTATTCTATTTATTATTTATTGGAAGGATACGTACACACATTTGCACTGAAAAAGGTTAGAATACCTTTTTCAGAGTTGGGCAGTCTTATCTTAAATGACAGTTTTATGTAAATATTCAAAAACATTTAAGCCACTCATTCCTCAATTAATGTAATAGTATTGGTATCTATTTTAATTTTGAAATTTATCAGAAGCTGCTACATTTCCCACCCTTGTCTTATACTCAAGTCAATCCGTTTTCCCAGTTTTCTGTGGTAAAATTATTCGGCTTATTTTCGGGCCGGCTTATACCCAAGTACATACGGTATATGTTGGTACTGAATCTTGCCATTACTTGATGTACACCACTTTGAGTCCCCCCAGAGGGTGAGAAAAGCTGTATATAAATGCAGCAAATAAATAAACCATGAATAATTGTGTTAAGCTATTAGCAATACTCAGAGAGGCACAGAGATTTCATCAACTGTACTTCTGTCCATTCTTTACCAGGCATTGGCCTCTTCCAGCACTCTTTCAATGGCAAATGCTACCTTGGTCTTTCTGGTTGCGGAATCACCATTCCTGCACAGTGATGAGTAACCTCTCCTCTCCTGCAGAAGCTATCAGTGCAAGTCTCACACAGGGAAAAGGGTTTTCCTGAAGGCACCACCGCCCTGGGCATCCACAGTCCTTGTGTCTGAGTGAAGAAGCCCTGTAGGCTGGGCTCAAGTTGAGACACACACATACACAAAGAGAGAGTGCTCACTTGTTTACGGACAGCTCTCTTTCTATCTCTTCATGAGCAATGTATTGCTGGAAAGAGATCCTATGAGAACAGGATCCCTACTGAGTTTGTTTATCTGACGGGTGTTTGGGAGGTAGTTGAGATAAAGAGAAAATAGGAATGGATGGAAAGGGATCTCAGTGGAGCATCAGTTTGTCAGCTTTTCCTATTTCAGTGGCTTACAAGAAAAGGTTGAAGCCTGACCTATCCCAACCCTTTCAAAGTAAGCACAATACAAGCATCTCCACACACACCTCTCTCTTCTCCTTAACTACCACTATGCAGGCCAGAAACCATTTCACACTACAGAACTATGGTGTTATGATTCCACTTTAATTGCCACATTTGCAATGTGATCAGAGGCACCACTCTCTGGCTGATGTCTCCATGGAGTTATTTGTGCACTAGATTACAATTAGCTGTTATGAATAAGCAAAAGCTACCCACGGAGACATCAGAAGGACATGTTATTGGGAACCATTTGGGACATCTTGGATGTAGCATCTTGTTGCTTGCAGCTTAGTTGAAGGCAGTGCAGAAGCCAAGGTTGCAAAGCGAAAGTATTAGGAGAGAGATAAGATCGGGTGGTGCATATAAATTACCAGTTGATAACTTCTATGAACAAGCCCCTGGGGTGTACAGGGTTAAACTGCTGAGCTGCTGAACTTGCTGACTGGAAGGTCAGCAGTTCGAATCTGATGAGAGGGGTGAGCTCCCGCTGTGAATCCCAGCTTCTGCCAACCTAGCAGTTTGAAATATATATGTGAGATCAATAGGTACCACTTTGGCAGGAAGGTAACAGTGCTCCATGTAGTCATGCTGGCCACATGACCTTGGAGGGATCTATGGACAATTTGAACTCCCACCATTCCTAACAGCCTCAGGCCCTTTCCTTTTTCCCCTCAGCCACTTAAGCAGAAAAGGAGAAGTAAAGGAAAGGGCCTGAGGCTGTTAGGAATGGTGGGAGTTAAAGTCCAAAACAGGTGGAGGGCCCAAGTTTGCCCATGCCTGGTGTAGAATCATATAACCCAGTTCAAAGAAAATAATCTGGATTATATGGAAGCCATAGACTGTAGAATGAATGCAGCCTGGCTCCACTTTGAACCGCCAGGACTCAATCCAATGGAGTCAACGGATTTGTAGTTTGGTTTGTGTGTGTGTGTCAGGAGCGACTTGAGAAACTGCAAGTTGTTTCTGGTGTGAGAGCATTGGCCGTCTGCAAGGACGTTGCCCAGGGGACACCTGGATGTTTTGATTTTTTACCATCCTTGTGGGAGGCTTCTCTCATATCCCCGCATGGGTATCTGTAGCTGACAGAGGGAGCTCATCCGTACTCTCCCCAGATTCAAACCTCTGACCTATCGGTCTTCAGTCCTGCCAGCACAGGGGTTTAACACATTGCGCTACCAGGGGTCCTGTAGTTTGGTGAAGGAAGAGCCCTCTTGGACAGGCAAGGCTGAAGACTTTGCAAAACTCCAACCCTTTGAATCCCACAGTTAAAGTGGTGCCAAACTGTGTCCCTTCTCAAGTGTAGCTGTGCCCCAAAGGAGCGGGAGGGGTGATAGTATGATAGCTGGGTCTGGAAGCTCTGAGTGTTAAGGAGATGCTGCAAAGACGGCTGTGAATAAGGGAAATGAGAAGACGGAGTGAGAGTGGGGAGAGCAAAGGAAGAATAGAAAGGAGGGGACACTTAGGGTAAGGGTTAGGGCAAGGTTTAGGATTTGGGTTACAATTAGGATAAGGGTTAGGAGTTATGGTTAGGGTACGGGTTAGGGTTAGGGTTAGGGTATGTGTTAGGGTTTGTGTTAGGGTTTGGGTAAGGGGTTAGGCTTAGGCTTACGGTATGGTTCAGGGTTAGGGTAAGGGTTAGGGTTTCACCATTAAAGAACTCTTACATTCCTTCTATATTATCTCTTTCTGGCCTGGCTTACATTAGTTAAGTCTCTCTTGTGCAAACAGCGCTCCTGAAGGAGTGATGTGGCATCTCCGTAAGGTTCGGAGCTTGGTGATAGTATGATAGCTGGGTCCAGAAGCTGCGAGCGTTAGGGAGATACCGCAAAAGCGGCTGAGAATAAGGGAAATGAGGGGGCGGAGTGAGAGCGGAGAGAGAGAAGGAAGGATAGAAAGGAGGGGACGCTTAGGGTAAGGGTTAGGACAAGGTTTAGGATTTGGGTTAGGGTTAGGGTAAGGGTTAGGCGTTATAGTTAGGGTTAGGGTTAGGGTAAGGTTTAGGGTTTGTGTTAGCATTAGGGTTTAGGGTAAGGTTTAGGGTTTGGGTTTGTGTTAGAGTAAGGGTTTGGGTAAGAGGTTAGGCTTAGGCTTATGGTAAGGTTCAGGGTTAGGGTTAGGGTGAGGGTTTCACCATTAAAGAACTCTTACAATCCTTCTAATATTCTCTGTCTCCAGCCTGGCTGACATTATCTAAGTCTCTAAGTCTCCGAAGGAAGGGATGCGGCATCTCTGTAACGCTCGGAGGTCCCGGACCCAGCTATCCTACTATGACCGGGGGAGGCAACCCGGGGGCCCACTCCCTCCCTCCCTCCTTCCCTCATGCACTCACCCAGGTAGAGCCTGTCCCGGCTCCGGCATCGGCGCGGGGAGACGTTGAAGTCCAGGTAGAAGAGGAGGATCGGGTGGCCGAAGCTGGCTCCGGGGCTGGGGTCCAGCACCAGGATGGCGTCTTGCCCCGCGGCCGCCGGGCGAGAAAGGGCTCCTCCGCTGGCGTTGTGGCTGCGGGAGGGCGCCTGGGGAGCGGCGGCGGCGGCGCGGTCTCCCCACCCGTCGGGGAGCAGGGCGCGCAGCTTGGTCCCGGGGCGAGCGGGCGCCGAGACGTAGACGGCGGGCGCAGCGCCCTGCGAGGCGGAGGCGGCGGCGGAGGAGGAGGAGAGGCGCGCCAGGCGCTGACACTGGGCCCGGGGAAGCAGCCCCCCGCGCTCGGGGCAAGGGCCCGAGGCCACGTGCCGCAGCGCCGCCGACGCCCACCGCGACACGCGCCACGCCGGGAAGCGGCGCTCCCCCGACGAAGAAGACGACGACGGCTCTCCCGAGAAGGGGGACGAGACGGGGAAGGAGGCGAGCAGGGCCAGCGGCCACAGCAGCGCGGCCATGGGGCCGGAGCAGCCCTCCGTCCGTCCGGGAAGACGGCGCCCAAAGAGCACCAGCAGGAGGAGGAGGAGGAGGAGGAGGAGGGGGCTGCCTGCCTGCCTGCCTGCCTCCCAACCCCACCGACCGACCTCTATGCCCCTCTTTCCCTCCACTCTCTCCCCGCCCTCTTTCCTCCTCTCTCCTCTCCCTCTTCCTTGGAGGCTCCCCTCCCCTCCCCTCCCTCTTCCAGGGTTTGCCATCCTTCCGACGGGGCGGTTTTCCCGGTCTGCTGTCCCAAGGCCTTCCGACAGCTAATGTTGGAGAATGCTCCCTGGTCAAAGTGGTCCCTGGTCAAATAAAGGTCAGGAACCACTGATTTAGAATCAAGGTAAAGGGATCTTTAGGCAGCTTGGGGGGGGACGGACTTTGAAACAATAGATTAAAGGTAAAAGTAAAGGTAAAGGTAAAGATTTTTCCCTGACGTTAAGTCTAGTCATGTCTGACTCTGGGGGTTGGTGCTCATCTCCATTTCTAGTCCATGGATGCTCAAGTCCCACTGTATGTAAAGGCATAGTAAAATGCGCTCCCTTGTCTAAAAGTTCAAACTCAAAGTTTGCTTTAAGGGAATGTTTTTTGTAGGGGAGGGGGTGTACAGCTTCTGGCTGCATTGGCTAAAATCTAACTACTAGACATATTTATATCCATTGCTGAACGAGGAGTCAAAATTTAGATAATTCGCACTGATGTAGAGAGTTCACTCTGATTGGAACTGATAACTGGATTGCGGTCACAGCTGCCACAAGTCTTTTCTTCATACATCCAAAGAGTCTCTGTGGATACAGGAGTGTACAAATGGATGTAAATTTGCCCTATTTAGGCAACTGTTGGGTTAAATTGCTGATTTGAATCTGGAGAGCAGGGTGAGTTCCTGCTGTTAGCCCCAGCTTCTGCCAACCTAGCAGTTCATAAACATGCAAGTGTAAGTAGAGCAATAGGTACTGTTTCTACAGGAAGGTAAGGGCGTGCCATGCAGTCATGCTGGCCACATGACCTTGGAGGTGTCTATGGATAACTCTAGCTCTTCTGCTTAGAAATGGAGATGAGCACCACCCCCCAGAGTTGGACACAACTGGACTTAATTTCAGGGGAAAACCTTTTACCTTTACTTAGGCAACTGCTGCATGTATCAGCAGCCCTAATATATCTAAACCAACATATGCATAGTTGGTTTGTCTGTGAATGAACTGTAATCCTTGTGCCTGCTGATAAGAGAGAACAAAAGGAAGAAAAAGTTCACTGAACTTTGTGCATGTTCAAAAAGGTCTGAATATAAAACCAAACTTCTCATCAATTCGGGGGGGGGGGGGGCACTTTTTCTTAGCTCCTTACCCAGCAAGTGACTTAATCATTTACACTTACTGCAAAAAGGTATCCTGCCTTCAGTGTTTGGATAAAAAGCTCTGAAGGTTTTTGGACTAATTAATAAGGGGGTACAGCAGCGAGCCCCAACACATTAAGAAACATTTGAACAAGTAGTAGTAGTCTCTGTGCCATTACCAGTGTATGGTTTTTGTTGAACATTGTCTGATGGAGCTTCAGTGCTGCTGTTTGATTTTCTTACATTTAATTGTGTTTTTATCTGGATTGTTGTATTTTTCAATGCTCTTTATTTTAGTGGTATTTTTGTTTAGATGGATTGTTTTCCTTTTATGTCTGATGGACTTTCTATCCAATACGTAAGCTGTCCCGAGACATGTTGAGTATGACAAAGTGCTGGCTTCTCCAGACCCAAGATAATAATCAATGGCAAACTTGAATCCCTTGCATTCGGCCCTATATTGCGGGCAGCTGTACTGAATTTACAGTCTAAAGTTGTTCAGGACTGTTTCCATCCAAGGAAATGGATGCTCCCTACACAAATGTCCTAGCTATGCAACAACTAACAGCTGATAGGACCATATCCCTGAACACACTTGCTCTATTGCCAGATAGCATTGCCATGCCACTGTACTCTTTTGTTTTCCCATCCCAGCTCTCCCCAACCCACTCCTTTATTTTTTTTTCTCCCACCCAGAACATTCTGTAATATATTGGGGTGTAATGAACACAACCTGTCATGCTTTATCATTTTTGTAACTCTGAATTCATCTACTCTTTATCAGACGCTTGAACAAAAGAAGGAAGCGATTCAAATTCAGAGCTAACCAGAATATCTTGACCACGTAGTGGCCCCAGTCATTAAGTGCTGCCTCCTGTTCACAAATTATTTAATATGCTCAGATAACGTTGATTAAGCATGTTGAAATAAGAAAAAAGGCTTAACTAAACTGGATCTTTGATTCCTCCCCTTAGTTTTCAAACTAAGCTTCTGAGGTATCAAAATGTTCTCTTTACTTGCAAACCATTATACTGTGCTATACTGTTTTATCACTTAATTAGCACAAAACTCATTACAGAACTGTATGTATTTCAAAATGTAAAATCAGATTCAGTCAAATAGTTTGATGTATTATTGAAGGCTTTCATGGCCGGAATCACTGGGTTGCTGTGAGTTTTCTAGGCTGTATGGCCATGTTCCAGAAGCATTCTCTCCTGACGTTTATTTAAAACTTTTACATCCCGATCTTCTCTACCTCTGTAGAGGGACTCAGACCGGCTGATAGCAAAGATTCGATGCTAACACTAAAATCTAAAATATCATACATCAACATTAAAATTAACCAATACATATAGGATAAATTACATAATAGCTGTTCGCCAAGATAAAATCATGTCTAACTCAGTCCATATATTCAGTCATATATTGTGGTCAGTAAATTTGGTCGATTGCCAGTCTCAGACATCATCCACAAAAGCTTTGTTGCACAGCCAAGTTTTCACTAGCTTCCTAAAGGTCAGGAGGGAGGGGGCAGATCTAATTTCATTTGGGAGGGAATTCCATAGCTGAGGAGCCACCACAGAAAAGGCCCTGTCTCTCTTTCCCACCAGACACGCCTGCGAAGGTGGCAGGACCAAGAGCAGGGCCTCTCCAGATGATCTTAATACTCTTGATGGTTCATAGGGGAGAATATGTTCAGACAGGTAAACTGGGCTGGAACCGTATAGGGTTTTGCGGGTTTCACCCACATCTAGGGCAGGCATCTTCAGAGGTCGTGAGGTCTGTGGGAAACTAGGCAAGTGAGGTTTATATATCAGTAGAATGTCTAGAGTGGGAGAAAGAACTCTTTTCTGATGAAGGCAAGTGTGAATATTGCAATCAATCACCTTGAATAGCACTGCAAAGCCTTGCAGCTTCAAGGCCTGGCTGATTCCTGCCTGGGGGAATCCTTAGCTGGCCCTGATTGTTTCTTTCTCCCATTCTGGACCTTCCACCGATATATAAACCTCCCTTGCGTAGCTTCCACTATACCTCACAACCTCTGAGGATGCCTGCCATAGATGTAGGTGAAACACGAGGAGTGAATGCTTCTGGAACATGGCCATACAGCCTGGAAAACTCACAGCAACCAAGTCAAAAAGTTTTATTGGTGACTTCAATTGCTTTGCCATTCTCTACCCTGATCCAGGCCATCTCTTCAGACATGTTGTTCTTGGACAGTGTATGTTAACTCTTGTTGTGTAATAGAAAAAAACAAACTCTTACACTCTCAGAGGACTCTCATGCAATTCTTCTTTCCAGGACTGATGAATGTATATGCCCACAACCCAAATGAAAACAAAGCAAGTCACCGTTGTCTGTGAGTTTATTGGTTGCCACCAGATTTCCCACATGGCCCTGTCATGACCTCTCCTCTCTTACCCTGTCTAGGTGATAATGCAAAGGCACAGAATGTTAGACAGTGAAATGGCCCCTGCGGAGGGAGAGACTGGAGGTGCTGCAGAGCATGGAAGCCCAAGGCCAGAAAGGCTGCACCTGGAAGAAGAGTGCCGCCTGACCAGTGCATGCATCAGAAGACAAGACATCCAAGTGGTCCCTGAGGTATGAATGCCACCTGGGGCTGGGCAGCTTTTCAACATGCAATCTAAAGCAGCTGGCCTTCTACTGAATGGGGACCTCTCTAGCACTACAGGGTAACCGCTTGGCTGCTGATCGCTTCTAGGCTGATCTTTGGCAGACCTTCCAAGAGGAGGAATTAAACATCCGAGTTCTGGCAAGGAGAGAGCAGAAATGGCATTCGTCAAATGGAAAGCAGAGGCAGATTTGGCCCTCACTCCCACCCTCCATCAACAGAGGAAGGAGGACTTAGAACTGGGCTCAGAGGCAACCCCTTTGGGGTCCTGTGACCGTCTGGAGGATCCCACTTGTCTGGAGGACTTCTCACGCTGCATTACCTGACAGCAACCACTGCCATGTCAGCACTTCACAAAGGGAAATGCTACAGTAGTTTTTGGAAGACATCTACTTCACTTGAATGCGTAGCTAGGAGCAGCCCAAGGACACCTAACACAACCTGGAATCTGAGGAAGGGGGAAATCCTTACTCTGAAATCATTTAGCACCACCTACTGTCAAGCTGTGGGACTGCTAAATAAGATAAATAAGAGAAGGCAATGAGCCTCAAAGTCCATTTGGTTATAGGAATTCCCCCCTGCCCTACTACAACTCTTTGAGATTAATCTCAACTGATGCCAATGTTGCCTGCTAGTCCACCTCCTCCCGTTGGTGCAACTTGTGCTAGATGCAGTTTTGGTGGAGAGATTGGGACTGTCAACTCAGGTCTATCCTTGCTTCATCCCCAGAGGAAATGCGACCAACTGTCCCAGAGGTGTACGTGGTCACAGTGCAGAGAGAGAAGGGCTGCGTGGCAAAGAGACACTCTATAGTGGCCAGGCAGGGATTCAGCCTTTGGTTCATTGTCAGTAGCCCTGAGGGAGCAGCAGAGGGAGGCAACCCTGGCAGGAACAGAGGGACAACCACTGTGGCCAGGCATCGTTCCCAGGCTTCTTCTTCTGCTCAGGATAGGCAGCAGTTTGATGGTTTTGTGCTCCGAGCCTAGGGCGCAAACATAAGGGTATAAGAACAACAAGAAATGGGAGTCCATTCTTCCATCTTTGAGGTGGAGTTGATTTTACACTCATAACTGATCATGCTTTAAAAAAAAAACAACTCCATATACACTAAACCTACACTAATCATCATCATCATCTTTATTTATACCCCG